ATATATTGCATATATATATTGCATATATATGGTGCATCCAACTGGACGGTGGAATTACTCTTCCCTCTTCATCCCCAAGTTTCCTCCACTACCCATCTAGTGCTCAAAGTAGAAAAGCATGTAACTGTTTCAGTGAAGCTGATGTCACATTACCCAAGTAATGCATATTACAATTCTGAGATATGCTATTACAATTCTGAGATATGCTGTCAGCTTTGTAATAAAGATCACAAGACAGTTTAACACACTGTTGAAAATTTTTAAATGTTTCTTTATAATACTTTAACTTACACTTTTACTAGTTTAATACTTTAAATTATTTTCAATTACATTTTATATTTGCCCTTGATATATTAAAACTTGTCTAATATGTTGTATTTGTATTTTGCTTTTAGGCTGCCATCCTAAGCTCTGAAGAACTGGTAAAAACAATTTAATCACTATCATATTCATTTCTTTCACTTCTACCACAACGTCTTCTGTCTTCACATGGTCTCTTTTGACCACCAACGCTGAATCTCACAGACTGTGGTCTGCTCAGTTTCAGTTGTTTCCTGATGACTGTTATTCACTTCTCTTATTTCAAAAGTGTGTCATTGTACTAAGTTTTGAATAATCTTGTGTTTCTGTCTCCACTGGCCTAATTCTAGTTCTGGTCTCATAAATCTACATCTGAGTCTCTTAAGTCTAAGACAATGTTTCCCAAACTTCATTCTTGGCCCACTAATTGAGGATGATTTTGAGAAGCACTTTAAAATGCAGATTTCTAGGTGTTGACCCACCCAGTCAGAATCCCTCAAACAATGGAAAAACTCCAAGAGTTCATTGTGTTACTTCAGAGACCACAAAGAGTGACTGAGTGAGCAAGAGAAGTATTTCTGAGTGAATATACCAAGGCTTTGAAATACCAAGGGCTGAGGGCACTCAGTAGTCACACCCAAGCACAGTGACCAGTTTGTTACAAGCCCTGAAATAAAAAATTAACAAGATTCAAGTTGTGAAAATCAGATGGCTGATTAATCTACTTGAACGAATGCTTTTTTTAAAAAAAAATTTTGATACAGGGTCCTACTACGCAGTTCAGGCTGGCCTTGTGCTCACTTCTGTAGCCCCCAGGCTGGTCTCAAACTCAAAGTGATCCTCCTGTCCCAACCTCCCAAGTCCTGGAATTATAGGCATGCACCATCATGCCCAGTTCTGGGGCCAGGATGGCATGCTGTACTGGTGCCAGGAATGAAACTCAGGACCTTATGCTTTCCAGACAGGAGCTTATGCCACCAAGTTATCTCCCCAGCCCTCTCATTTAATTTTGTAATCTCCAAATTTGCTTAGTACTTTTTAAAAAGAAAGTTTATATTTTAAGTCAATAGCAAAGAAGTAGCTAGCCCACCATTACTGTGTGGATTTTCTACCTTAAGATTTCTCCTGATACACTAGGTTCTTTTTCCTGCAACTAGCTTAATCGGGCTTTCCCTTTCTGAGAGAAGGAAGATGGTCCACTCCCACTGATGAAAATAGCATCGTTTGTGACTCTATCCAACACATCTCTCAAAGAACACCAGATCTTTGCATTTTCTCTTACTCGACCCTCTCCATCTTGCTCCATCTCCAGCTTTCTACCCTCTAAAGATGAAAGATCAACTAACCAGCTCTCAAGTGTGTCCCTGTTAACTGCTTTTCTTTCTCTCCTCTAGCCACTGGGCCCCCAGATCTTCACTGGCCTCCTCTTGCATCCTTTCTTCCCGGGAGGCATCCTGCCCATCAGTCAGGCTGGTGCTAATCCAGATGGCCAAGATGGAGCCCTTCCAGCAGGACAAACAGGAGCAAATGCTAACATCCAGGCCACCACAGTGGGCCAACTCTCCACTTCTGGTGTCACTGATGATGACTTTGAAGTGACCACCCCTGCGGGCATCCAAAGGGCCACACATACGACAAAGCAGACCATCACAGGGTCACCAAATCGTGAGTTCCCTCAGCTTAGAAAGTAGCTTTCACATGAAGATCACCTGTAGAATGGGAGAAAATAGTTCTTTGCCTTGCTTTGATAACTGCTGATCTTAATTAACCAAGAAGCCCTCTTTACTCACTCATTGTTTATTTGAGTAAAGTGAAAAAATGTTTTTACCAGGCCATCAATCCTGTGGTATGAAACCTGAAAGAACACATTTAACTACTGATATAAGATACTTTCCATCTTAGTTCAAAGCTGGAAATATTTGGGAGCAGGCTGTGTTCCTCTCCATCCTGTCTTCCCTGAATACACACACCCCCCCACCCCACACACACACACACACTCCACAGGCCCAGGTCAGACACTGGACACAGAGACATAAGAAGATCAGTTCATCGAGATCTGGTTTCCAACTCCTTAGAATGAGCCTCAAATTTTCCTAACATAATACTGCAAGCTGCAGCTAGTAGGCTGGTATTCACACAACAGATGAACCCATCTGTAGATGAGACTTTCAAAGTGTTGCAAAAATAAGGCTATCACTTGCTAGCAAATATAATTATTTAATGTGTGGGAATATCCAGAACCAAGTATGCTTAGGTAAAAAATAAAGATTTAATACTAAAATGCCTAATTTGGGGAGAAAAAGTTAATATCATGTGGAATATTTAAACTCAAAATGCTTTTGCCTATCTTTAAGAGGCATTTTGTGGGTTTTTTTTTTTCCAGGAATTCACTGAGATGTATCCAAGTTTTTCAACTAAACAGCCTCAAATTTCGTGACACATGTGACTCTCATTAATTACATTATGTATTCCACTATGATTGAGACACTGGAGAATCTCAGAAGAAACTCTTAGTTTATCTGAAAACTTTCTTTGAAATTTCAGAAAATATGTTAAATGTAGAAAATACTAACTTTTGAAAAGAATAGTTAAATGAGTAAATTTGTCTTTGAAATATTACATTATGCTACTTCAGACCTGAAATATTCATGTATTAAAATATATTTTGAAAACTGACTCTTTTCTTCTTTGGGGATGAAGAAAGCTGGATGTCTTCAGAAACCCATGACTTCAGAACATCGACATGACATGCTCAGCCTAGGATGTTGGTTGATGTGATGCTATAGGCCTAGGACATCTATATGGCATGTGAGCTCTAGGACATCTAGATCTAGGGTGTCCTCTGGAAGTAGGGAGCACAGTGGTCAAAGGTCAGAAAGGACACTCAGCAATGTGAGGACAAATTATAATCTCTCAGTTGCCTCAGGACTCACTCTCTCATAAGAGAAAAAATTTAATTTTCTATAAGCAAATAATTTTCAATCATTTACAATACAAAGTGAAAATAAATTACTATAAATCATACATCTTCAGCCTCCTTAAGAGTCAAAGCTAGTGATTATGTCATTAGTGTTTAATTTTTAACAGTTTTTTAAATTAATTTTATTGGTACACTTTTGATATATGCAATGATCTCATTCATCTTAGGGAATGGGTATCTGTATATAACATATCTTAGTTCTTTTTTTCCCATTCCCCTCCCTTCAACCCTTCTCCTCTTCCTTATTTACAAAGCTGCTTCCATTTTCTTTTTATATTCTTCCCTTCCTTCCTCCCTTCCCCTTTTCTTGTCCCATTCTGAGTGGGAAATGGCATTGTTGAAAATAATTACTAAAACACACCAATGTGGTGTTACTTTTGCTCCATTTACACAAAAAGTAGGATTTAATCTGATTTAAATTTATAGTGTTGGGGGCTGGTGAGATGGCTCAGTGGTCTAAAGCACCTACTTAGAACAAGCTATACTAAGCAAAGCACGGGGACCACGGTTCAATCCCCCAGCACCACATGCCAGCCAGCCCCGCCCCCTGGTGGGCTGAGCTGGCCACACACACACA